ACACTTGTTGCTAAGGGAAGGCCTCTGTTACTACTGAAACAGATAATTAAGGCATTAGGGCGGGATTACTTTGATTGACACGTCTCAACGTCACTCTGTGGCATATTTAGTTAAATTGAGAAAAAAAAAAAAAAAAGCATTGTAATTTCTTATTTCTACCACGTGGCAAACGTGGTTCTAACAACATTTGACGGTAAGATGTTCTTGCTTTGAAGGAGACGGCAAAGAAAAAAGTCCAACGTCCAAAGGGTATCATGTCACTTTCCACTATTTAAAGACCCAACCCAGAATCCAGAAAACAGTCTGCGCTGGCCACACGTTTATATTTCTGGCTGTGGGTAAACGTTGGAGCCTCTTTGCCACGGAGACGTTCAGTTTTCCACGTATCTCAACGGGGGGGAAGAAACTGGAGCCAAAAGAACTCAGAAGCCCAGAACGTCTCTGAAGCCACGGCGACAACATTTACTTTGGAAACTTTGGGAAAAAAAGGAGCACGTTGCGTTTTGGGCACGCGCCTGTTACACGTTATGTCAGAACCAGATGTCGGCGAACGGCTCTTCCAGACCCCAAAGCCCGGCGTCAGAAACATCCCCAGCAGAGGACTGGAAGTCCTGGGAGTATCGACCCAGTACACTTGGAAAAACATTTGGAAAAACAATTACACTATTCTGCCAAAAGTATGCAAACACTTAAATACTCTACATGGATGTTGAACAAAAATCGATTCTCTCTAGAACGATTCGGTCTCGATTCAGAAAAGTTAATAATCGGAATTTAAAAAAAAGGTTAGTCTCTGCTCGCGCTCGAAGGAGTTTTCTACGCGCTCGCTGTTTTTCTTTCTGACAGTAAGGGGGCGGAGCCAGTCACCATGGTCTCTACACCTGATTGGTTACAAACCGCGTCTTTGGATTGGCTTTCAATTGGCATTGAAAGTTGGCAAGATATTCACAGATTTGTACTTTTTTCCCGTATTTTACACACACCGACCGTTCTGAGTTCTAAGAGCAGCTTTTTCTTCATTTAAAAGAAAAATGAATCTGTTTAATTTTTTTTTTTTTATGGCTACTTCCATATTGTGTTGAAATGCAAGCTGCGTTGATTCTTGCATTGTTGCAAACTCAGATTTGAGAAAATTTAGAAAATCGAGATGCATCGATAATCGTTTTATCAGTTTAGAATCGATAATCGTTTTAGAATCGAATCGCTGACCTCTGAATCGGAATCGAATCGTGAGGTGCCAGGAGATTCCCACCCCTATCTATGAGCATTGAGATGTGAAACCATGAAGTTGTCGTGGTGCCGTTTACCTTTGGTCTTGCTGCTCCGGTCTTCACTCCCCCTGCAGAGACAGAGAGACACCGACCGGATTGTTATTCATCATGCACAAAAAATGATGGCTGAACACGTGTTCTTCTTTAGGGAGGACGCTCCATCTTCACACACAGAAGGTGGTGTCTCCATCACGCTGAGCGGGCTGCATGTGTGTCGCCTAAAAATAACTGACGGGCAACAATACATGTATATTCATTTCCCTCCCATCTGTATTCCTCCCCCTCGCCTCCTCATCCAGTTTTTGCTGATTCCGCCCGAGTCGGTGACATTTCCCTAAAACCCTCGCGGCTCATCGCGTGTCAGGACGCCATCGCGTCATGGCTTCTAGCTGCTGACGCGCCGCGTGTGCGTGTGCACGGCTGTGCGAGCTGAACCTCCGCCGAAGAGAAAAGACGTACGAGAGAGACGTGCAAAGATACTGGGAAAAGGATGAAAAGCTAAACTTCTTCCTGTCGTCCTGTATTACTGAAGTAGAGTGAATAAAAGTGAGCATTAGTGAACACTTTAATGCTGCAGCTGGTAGGAATATATTCAACAAACACGTTTATCAGTGGAGTGGAAGTCAGTTGGTAAATAACCTTTAGTACAAGTCCATGGAACAGAAATAGATAGAAAACGTGCAAAGTTTATGCCGCATTTTATTTCCCCTCAAAAAAAAAAGGCCATTAATACCAATAAATACGATTTTACTGTTGATGACTGACTTTATAGCGGTAGGCGGTGGAGTTTTCTTTTTTTATTATTTCCGATTTGGCAATTCATGAATTCCGACGTCCAATTCCTCATCAAAGCAGCCGCGCGGGGACGCTGAAGATGTCCTCAGAAGACGCATTTGTGTGTATTTATACACCGGACGAAAGGCGTCCCGTCTTCTTCACAGACGCTGGATCGGCTGCTATTCCACAAAAAGTGACAAAACAAAACGAGCTGAGCCGTTTGTCCTCGCCGCGTGCGGCGACGCGGCGACTTCACCCCATTTCTGGAATTTCGAAGAAAAAAAAAAAGAAGCGATGTGTCATCGGAGATGGTTTCTCTTCCCTGCCGACACATCGCTTCTCAGGAAAGTGGTTAGAAGAATTATCCGTGTCACAACAGCTCGTGGTCGACCATCTGCCCTCGGGAGGGTGGGGGAGAGGGGTCACGGTGAAGGCGTGATGTTTCACTGAAGCCCTCGTAGCAGCTTTAAATACCCTTCAACTCGAGGGGCTGCGTGTCTTATTGCTTATTGCATCGTCTTCTCCTGGTGAACACCTCCTCTGTGCAGGTCTTGTGGTGCCAAAGCTCCGGTTCTCCTTCCAGGCCGATTCACGACCCCTCTGTTGACCAACAAGAGGCTTACAAAATAAAAAGGGGGAATTACAGGACGACATGGCGTGCCGGAACAGAGGCTTTGCAATCTGAGATTTAAAACAATAGCTTTACCTCTTCAACATTCGGGAACGCAGAGTCAAGGGTTTATAAGGGAGTAGAACATCAGTAACACGAGGGAACATCTAATCTAATCGTTGGGACATTGGTGACGCGTCGCCCCATCGGATCCCCCAAAGCATCGCGTCTCTTCGTAGCGCCGCCTCGTTTGCATAGTTTAGCGCGGTATTGTCGGGTTGATCCGGGTCGTAGCCAGAGGTTATGTCAAGAGACGATGTGTACAAAAAAAATAAAAATAAAAACAGCATAGAGTCGCCATTGTAAGTGAAGGCTGACAGAAAGTTTTGTTTAAATTCTTATTGCACTGAAAGTGACTGTTGCTTTTTCACAGGTATCGATACGTAGCGGCGGCCATCAAAAACATATATATACATACATATATACGCAATATTGTAACTAAAAAGGAGGAAACTATACAGCTCTCTTGTTCTGCGTCTTTGAACTGAAACTGGGTGTGCGTGGAGTGAAGGCGTGAACTCGCTGTGGACTGCTGGTGCTCGTACTGGGAACCACTGAGCACCACATAACTGGGAAATATGACTTCATCTCAGCCTGGAGGGTATGGACTCTGAGTCTCCTCCTCGGTCGGGAAGTCAGGACACACGCGGTGTCCCCCGTGCTCGTCTTTATCAGGTTTAAAGATTTTTTATTTTTCATTTTTTTATTGTCAGTTACACACGCTCTTTGTATTGAAATTCTTGTGCTTGCCTTTTCTGGAAAGCCGACCAATTTTAAAATAAAAATACAATATTTACCTAAATGTAGATGAAATAAAAATGAGGTAAGGATAAGGCAGAAATGAGGTAAGGGGAAAAGTGCAAAACTGAGCAGGTTGTAAAAGAAAAAAAACTTAAATGAAATGTGTGCAATATAAATCAACAGTACAGTAACAGTAAGTGAAATCCTAACAAGCTAAAGTGCAGAGCGGTTGTGGATTATGTTATAGAGTCCTCTCAGCGGAGTTTTTTAGTCTGGTGGTCCTGCATTTGGCACGTCTGTACCTCCTGCCTGAGGGCAGAAGCGAGAGTTCAAATACGTAAATAGATGAATACCAACGCACATTGGTGAAAGAAGATGTTCGTTAACAGGGAATCAAACCCTCTTTTCTACAGGAGAAAATGACCTGCTAGTCTGCCTGGTAACCAGCTAACACACACACACACACACACACACACACACACACACACACACGCACACCCTCCTCCTCGCGTTTAATCGGCAGACATCTAGTTTATCTAAATGGGGCACGAGCTGCTGTGAGGTTCAGTGTTGCGGCTGTAAATCAAAGTCTTTTGATTATTACTGGAGATCTGCTACTAGATGGCAAATATTTACATGACGTTTCAGTTCCACGTTTTGTAATTGCCGATTGTGAAACATCCCTAAAAGAGGAGCTTTTTCAGTAAATCGGCGTTCCTCTGCATCCGATTGGACACAGAGGAATTATTCTGACTAGAATAAAAGATGCAAGAGACCAGTTTAATGTCGACAGCAGCTGAGGACAAAAAGAGCGTTTCTCTAAAAGAAAACTCAAGACTCCTGCAGGGACAACACCTCGTGGTTTCAGAAGGGGCGGCGGGCGAGGACGTTTCCTCACATTTACCATTTGGTACACACACACACGCACACTTAACATTGCTGCAGTGGAGTCGGTCGCACTGCAGAACTGCCAGGAAGACTCCCGGCGTTCTGATTCAAACACACACACACACACACACACACACACACACACACACACACACAAGGTCACTGAGCTCCACATTTCAGGATTCAGAATTTTTCCTTAAGGGCTAAACGGTGACGCACGGATTAAACGCAGCGCGCGGGACGGGGGGGGGGGAGTACGAGTTTCCACCTCGGTGTCCTCGGTTGAAATGGGCCCTGCCAGAAACAACATCTGCAGCAGGAACCAACGAGGGAGCAACAGCTAAAGAGGAGAAGGTGAGAAGGTCCGCGTTCATAAAGCAACAACACCCCCCCCCTCCAGTACGAAAAAAAGACCCTGAGGACCTGCTGACACGCACATCGCATAACCACGGGGAGGGAGTCTGACTCAGCGAAGGAGAACCGTCGGACCCGCTCCTGTTCTGGCCTGCCCTCGGCTAAGGAGGCCCAGCGTGAAGCATCAGGTCTGCTCCACAACACGCGGGGCTCCTCGCGGGCCGGTTCAATGCACATTCCGGGTCATCAGCGCCAATACACTCGTCGTCGTGCGCCGAAAAGCACCTCCGTGTTAACAAAGTTGAAGATTTTGGGGGCGGACACCTAATCGCTGAAGCGGGCCGGCTCGTCCTGCCTTCGCTTTCCAGCCACACATTTTTTCCAGAACCGGCGAGCCCTTCTCACCCCCCCGGAACCACATGACCCATCTTCAGCATCAGCACACGCTACTGTACCACCATCAAATACAAAATGCACACAGGCACACTCACACACACACACACACACAAGCAGGCCTCTCGCTCTCAGTCGGAGCGATGGAAAAACAGAAAAGGCGGAGCGCATCGCCTGCCCTCACACGCACAACTTGTTGTGTAAACTGTTACTTCAGGCCGACAAGCACACTGTATTTTGCCCTCTGTCGCTCTCACACACACACTTTATAACGACATCCCGTCCTTCAACCATCAACGACACACGCCGTCGGGGCGCGTGAGCAGAACGCCGGTCCTGATCCCCCGGCTGCACAGCCAGCGCCTCCGAGATGTCAAGAAATAAAACGCCAGGGGGAAAAAAAAAGAAAGAAAGGAAAACACAGAAGAAAATTAAATGAGATAAAAAAAAAATTCCCAAGAAGGAGGGCGGTGCAGTGAGCGGCCAGAATGTCTCTCTTTAATCCCAGACAGATGTGCAGCCAGACACAAACTACGAGGCGGAGACGAAGAGAACCCGAACAAAAACACCCCCCCCATGCAAAGAGTGTGAAACAAAGCTGGAGCCACCGTGCTGTTGTGTTCGGAGGCTGTGGTCTCTCTGTAGTTTCATTTCTAAACGGTCTGTGTCTGCAGAGAATAAGACCGGGTCGTCCATCATTACAGCTGAATGTGCACACGTCATTTTGGGGCCTCACACCAAAGAGCTACTCAATATTTCTGAGCTGACCAGATTTGGCAATGAAACAATCAGTTGTCCCACAATTCTTTTTTTAAATTTTTTTCAAACGATGCCCCCACCACTCTTAGACCAACATCTGCTTCTAAAAACTGGATGGCTGACCTCTGACCCCCGAGGGACGTTTCCTATTTTCTTTCAAATGTAATGTGAAGAGAGGAGCCTCTCTCATCGAATCACACAGCAGCAAGGAGGAGGAGGAAGAGGAAGAAGATGGAGTACGGTTACCTCATCTGGACCCTCCGTCAACACAGTGTGTGTGTGTGAGGGAGTAACACACACACACACACACACACACACACACAGCTGACTCATTGCGTTCAGCTGCGGGTCGCCGGTTTCAACAACAAACAGCAGGAAAAAAAACGTTCATTGTTACGAGTAAGTGCGCACACTCGGCCTTAAATGACATTTGAGGAGATGCAGCTCAATTGACTCCTCCCCTTTATCCCC